CTGGGGGGGGGGGGGTGGACAGTGGGTAGGATTTAAGCTCCTTTGCCATGGGAATCTAGGACTTTCAGTTAAAATGGTCTGCACAATAATTCCTTACTTTAAGAGCCTCGGGATACAGAGAAAATTGTTCTCACCTTCTGGGGTGTCTGGATACAGCTGTAGATTGTGGCCGAACCCTCTTTCTGTTGAGGAACTAGGGTCTTTCCCTGTAACAGATCAACATCAGACTATCTGTACGCACCAGATGAGAGCTTTTCAGGGTGTCACTCTCAGCCGCTAAGGAGAGGGGACACCCACCAGGTTCAGATTTCACACAGAGGGCGGTGGCTGTCTTAGTGCGGTGGGTACAGTGCTTCTGGTTGTTTGACATCTCCCTTATTAATAGCCCAACATTGGGAGCTGAGGACGAGCTCCTTCACTCCAAGGGATCCCAATGTTTGGTTAACATGAGCAGAGCCACACTTGTCTGCTCGTGTGCTGCTGGTCCTGGCTCCCCGTGTGGGGGGACTAAGTCATCCGGGATGTTGGATGGTGTTAGAACTGGAGGAGGAGGGAAGGTGTACTGGTCAAAAGGGCTCACCTGCAAGTTGAGGAATACTTGCGCATACACCGTGTTGTCTTGGGCCGTAGGTGCAGGCGCATTCCTCAGCATGAGGAGATCGTACTCTGCTGGCGTCTCAGAAGCCGAGTCAGGTCCAGTGTCCTCCTGGTATCTTCCAGCCTTGACCATGTCTGTCGTCTCCTCGGTTGTTCCACTGCTGTCAGAGCTGCTGGCAGAGGGGGGCCTAGACCGTTGCTTGGCAGTCTTGAGAAGAGTGTCCAGCTTCTCATACCCTTGGGAGAGCATGTTGCACAGTGTGTGGCCAGCGGTGCGTTTTGAACACATGGTGCAGGGTTGGTAGGAAGTATGGCCGCCCCCGCCTCTTTCTTGTTTTGTGGAAGGAGCCAAGCTACTCTGACTTCTACCCCGGGTGAGGCCCTAAGAACTGGAGGAAACGTTGTTCTCCAGTCTTCCCTTAGGGGGTTCCATCCCACTCTCCCTTCCTCCTTCCCTTCAAGCATTGACGACTTAGCAACTCTCAGGGAGCAGAAGTGGCCCCATTGGGTGAACCATCATAAGTGCCATGATGGGTACTCTGGGAAAACACAAAGGTCATTATGCCTGCTCTTCTTTATTTTATTTTATTTTTTTTCTTGAGAGAGAGAGAGAGAGAGAGAGAGAGAGAGAGAGAATGCACATGGGCATGTGAGTGAGCGGGGGAGAGGCAAAGGGAGAGAGGGGAGAAAGGATCTTAAGCAGGCTCCTTGCCCAACCAGGAGCCCGACGTGGGGCTCCATCTCACAACTGTGAGATCATGAACTGAGCCGAAATCAAGAGTCAGATGCCTAACCAACTGAGCCACCCAGGTGCCCCAGACCTGCTCTTGAAGGAGGAGGGATAGAAAGGAGAAGGAATGGCCAATTAGGAAACTAGTACGCTATTTTAGGGAAGAAGGAACAAGGAATGGGAATGTCTAGTGATGAGGTCTGGTGAAATAAATTAAGGCACATCCGTAGGATGGAATAAATGGGAGTCAGTCTTAATATACATATGTTAATATTACTAGGATATTCTGTTAAATTCAAAAAGCAAGTTTCAGAAAAACGTTACAGATTGCTTCCATATGTGTAATTAAATGAAAGGCACCCACCTACACACCCACCACACACACGTACATGCACGCACGCACAAATATATCTGACGCCTGTAAATGCATTAAAAGGCTCTGAAAGGATTTAGAAATACATCCTAACAGTGAAGGCTGCTGGAGAGACTAGGAGATTGGGATTTGGAGGGAGATTTCATTGTATACCATGTGACTATATGAGTTTTCAATTAAAAAAAAAAATCCTATTCAATAAAACAAAAAAAATGGTGACAGCATGAACCTAGGCAGTGACAGAAGATGGAGAGGCTTTGGAGAAATGGTGGAGAGGTTAAAGAAGCAGACCATGGGAGTGGAGGAAAGGTGCGCTGGGGAGGGCGGAAGGGCAGGGTGACAGTGGTGTCCCCAGTACTACCTTCCTCCTCCTGCTGTGCCCAGGGTGCCAAGGAATGAGGGCACAGGCTGGGGGAGACCAGAGTCTGCCCTGCCAGCTATGAGGAGGCAGCTGGTGGGAAGCTCCACCCTTAGCCTCAGTCCTGTTTCTTGGCCCCTTTCTCTTGGTTATACTTTTCTTCAGAGAAGCGTGCACTGTTGGATTGTTTGAGCCCCTGGCCTCCCACCCAGTCCCTCCTCTTAGTACATCTCCATGGGGGAGCTCCTCCAGGAGGGGTTACCAGGGGTTTTTTAAAAGGAGGATTTGTTTGAGTGGGTGGAGTTTGGGGATTCCTTAGAACTCCAGAGCTTAGAGCTCAAGGTGGTAATTGAGGACACCAAGGGATGGGAACGGGGGTGGGAAGGTAAGATGCAGGCATCTCAGCTCACCACCCCAACACCTGTCAGGACAGGCCCGCCTTCACACACTTTGTGCTGTTGGGGTGTCGCGCAGTATTTTGTTTGAAGAAAGCATGCCTTAGCTTTTTCAGAAATTGGGGAACTACTTCCTCAGTGATGCTCTTGGGTCATAGGTGTCTAGACGGTCTCACGGGTTTAATTTTCATTGGGTTTTAGTTTGGCTTCTGCCGCGGATTTGCCATTCCATCTGGCCTTTGTGTCTCCATTCTCAGAATGAGGAAAATCACTCCACCCTCATCAGAGGCTAAGTTCAAGTGATAATGATTAAAGCCTGAGGAGCTCTAGAGACCCCAGAGGGCAGGCTGCCTCTCCTAGCTTTGGTCACCTTCTTTCTGGAGTCCATCCTCATTGTGGTTTCTGTACCCCAAACCGCCTTCCTTCTCCAAACCACATTATTTCTCAGACTTTAATAGGTATATGATTCACCTTGTGAAGATGCGGACTAGAGCTCAGTATTCTGGGGTGGTGCCCAAGATTTGCCTTTCTAACAAGCTCCTGGGTGATACTCATGTCGCTGGTTGGCAGACCACATAGAATAAATAGCCAGGCCTTGGAGCTCCCATCGGGCCCAGGGACCCCATAGCCTGTGTCATTGGGGATATTACCTGGCGCATCCGCTGGGGTTTCAGCTTGGTTGGAGCTGGAGTCTGGGACTGAGTCTGAGAAACCAAAGTAGAGAAGATTTATCAGTAGGGCTGTGAGGAGAGAGGCGTCTGATTTCGTGAGCGTCGAAACAGACGGGGAGAGATTTCTGGGGACACGGCCAAGGAAAAGGCTTTAGGGAGGAGGTGAACCCTGATGTGAGCAGGAACCTACGTGAAAGGGTGACCAGAGTCTAAGGTCATCTTCAGCTGAGAAGGCGGCCCTGGAGCCTCCTGCCATCCCTCTGCCCCATCTGTGGTAGCCACTCCTCAGATTGGTTTGTTGGCTCGCATCAGTTATTCCAGGGATCCTACGTGTTCTAACCAATAGGCTCTTTCTGGGAACTAGTCCATTTCCACTGCAATATGAGATTCCGAGGGAGCTGCCAATCATAATAGCTAATCCCCTTGGCCACGGTGATTGGGCCAAGCCATGGTCACATGACCCGAGGCCAGGCCAATCAGAGATCTTTCAAATGAGAGTTGGAGGGAAACCTCTTTTTTCTCTTCCCGGTGGCGGATCCCCTAGTAGGTGTGCGTCTGGAGAGAGCAATTGCTGTGTTGTGGTACACTCCACCCCACCCATCGGCTGGGGTCAGTAGGAAAGAACTAAGCTGGCTCGAAGGACAAAGTAGGGGTGAGAGATGGAGAGCTCTGGTCATTTTTGAGTCTCTGGTAACGTTTGTCCCTAAGGCCAGCTCCTTCCCTGCCTTCCCCACAACGAGCACCCCTCCTCCCCATCACTCTGAGAAGAAATGAGGTCTTCGGATAGACGGAGGAGGGGCGGGGGGGGGGGGGGGGGGGGTGCGGAAAGGAGTGTGGGGGAGGGGGGGATCATCAGAGGACAGACAAGCCTGCAAAGGTCCCAGGATATGGTCTAGGGCAGATGCCATTGATCTCAGAAACCCACGCCGTCCTTTTTGCTTCCACATGCACCACCAGATGGAGATCCCAAAGCACAGAAGAATAAGAGACATCAAGGAGAGTCCAATGTAGAGCTTCATGTTTCTCTCGTGCCCTTTGGAGAGGAAATGAATGGTATTAGTATAAATAATGGTAGAGAGGTTGGAACAATCAGTGGACACAGCATAACGACCATTCTACCTGCCTCTTAAAATTTCATGCTATTGCAGAGCATATTCCTTTTCATTCATTCTACAACTATTCATTGAGCAGGTATTGTTCTGGACAAGAAGCTATAGTCTGTCTTATGACAGACACTGTCTCTAGGTAGAGCCCCTTGCCCAGTGTCGCAGAGTTCATCCTGAACGGGATTTGAACGTAGGCTGCCTGATTCTTAAACACCCTTATCCATCACACTACACCGCCCCTTTCTGGCAATGGTATAAGGGCAGTTCCAGGCTCAAGACAGAGTCAAAATTCCCACTTAATTGGGCTCTAAATCCATCTGCTAGCCTGACCTAGCCTTGTCACGTTCTAGGTAAACCTTCCTTTTTTCTACTTCCTTCTAGAGCAGAACAGAGCACAGAGCTCAGGGTTTCAATCATGCTTTTGTTGTGTGGCCTTGCTCAAGTCCCTTATACTTTCCAAGTCTCGGTTTCTTCATGTAATGGAGAATAATAAGAATATTTGCCACATTAGATTATTGTAAAGCTGACTGTGTTAAAACTCACAAGGACCTAGACTAGTGCCTGGCATCTAGTAAGAGCCACCAGGGCTTCATTTCTTGCTTCTACTCTCAAGTATAGTGGCCACGAGCCATGGCAGGAGCCATTGGAATGTGGCCAGGATGACTCTGGAGCTGAATTGCTTACTTTATTTAATTTTTAAAAATTGTGGGGTGCCTGGGTGGCGCAGTCGGTTAAGCGTCCGACTTCAGCCAGGTCCCGATCTCGCGGTCCGTGAGTTCGAGCCCCGCGTCAGGCTCTGGGCTGATGGCTCGGAGCCTGGAGCCTGTTTCTGATTCTGTGTCTCCCTCTCTCTCTGCCCCTCCCCCATTCATGCTTTGTCTCTCTCTGTCCCAAAAATAAATAAAAAACGTTGAAAAAAAAATTAAAAAAAAATTGAAATTGAAGTATGGCTATTCAGTTTCTTATTGAAAAACCTGATAAGTAGGTTTGGAGCAACTTGGATATGTAAATCTAGCTTTTCAACTCTAAGTTTTATGAAATCTGAATACAGATCAAGTACTTCCCATGAAAATGTGGCATCTGAATTGAGATGTGCTGTTAGTGTAAAAACGTACCAGATTTCAAAGATTTAGCACAACATGAAATGTAAATTATCTCAAGGATAATTGCATATTGGCTACATATTGAAATGATGATATTTGGATATAGTGGGTTAAGCAAAATATATTACTGAAGTTAATGTTACTTGTTGCTTTTTGCTTTATCTAATGTGGCTATTAGAAAATGTAAATTCCATGTGTGGTTTCCATTATATTTCTATTGGAATGTGCTACTCTAAAGTACTCTCGCCCACACTCCTTCGCTGCACTTCATAAAGAACCACTCAGAATGCAGACTCTTGGATCCAAGGCAACCTGGGCAGATGTCACCGGGAAGAAATGACTGGGAGCTCTTGCTGACAGGGTTCCTGGTGGTACATGTGAAGTTGGGATGATTTTCATCACTTCTCCAAGAGATATTGAGGTGAGATCCCCCTTGGGACATGACAGTTCCTTTCTGTAGGAAGGTCCATAAGTATGTCACATTGTGTCCACTGTCCTCCACTGAACATGTCAGGCTGACCCTGCAGATGCCATCCTCAGTGAGCTCAAGGCTCCCGGTAACCTTTGGCTTCTTCAGCCTCCCTGTGTGGGGAGAAAGACCTAATGTAGAGTCAGGCCCACCCACTGGGCAGTCACCACGTCTTTACTCATTCAGAATATGCTCATGAAATTGTGTGTTGGAACTGCCTTAGGGCTGAGAAAGTGCCTCCAGGAGTCACAGACATTTTGGAGTGCACTTGGCCTTTCCCTTAGTGGCCATGAAATCTCAGACATACCACTTCAACTCTTGGGCCTTTGATGCTTGGATGTTAAAGGAGTTAATAAAAAGTAGAAAAACAAAGATACCACATCATTCTATGGAGTACCCTGTGAAGGACGAGCAAACCCTTCCACACAAGTAAGCACAACATTCCATGTGCTCCAAAGACTCTTCAAGGCTTATGTGTTGAGGTGCCATCGTCTAAGTTTTTTTTTATTCAGGAGATAAAGTGTAGAGAGGTGAGTGCAGCACTGACACAGAGTTAGTGCCCAATAAATGTTAACAATTTTAACAGAAATGTAAGATGGGCATCAGTTGTTCCCAATGCATTATTATTTTTACTAAATCTTCTTGCTTAAAAAAAAATTATATTTGAGTCACAGCTGCTATCGACGTGGACTAGCTGACTTCCAGCATACTTTAGCAGAACCATGGACAGTGACTCTTTTCAGCTACTTAGACATCAACAAACCCAGGCAGGGGATGTGATGACAGGAGAGCCAAGCAGCCCTCATGGGGGGTCAGAGGGTCTTTGGACACTAAAGGCTTTCTCCTCAGTCTTCTCCAATTCCACTCCAGCCAGCTGTTCTCTTATTCAAAAATGATAATATTCTATAAAAAAAAAACAAACGATAAGTGATGCAGGAAAACAGTGGCGAGTATTGAAATTTGGATGGTGGAGACCTAACTGGAAGTCTAGAAGGGGGACATTGGAAGGTGGATTTTGCCCAGCTGCTGGTTAAAAATTTTTCCTCCTGTGAGTTGACTGGTGTGGACCCAATAGTTGTTCAGGTGGCCTGAGGCATTTTGGTAGGAGGAGAGGCTTGAGGGAAGCAGGAGGCAGGGAAAGCAGCAAAGAGGAGAAACATTTCAGGGAAGGAATCTAATGCTTAGCGCTCTGCTCAGAAACTCACGGTAGATGAGCAGGGTGAAATGTTTTCTGCTGATGACTCTGGAGGCCTTTGAACACACATAGGCATAGTAGTGGCCAGCATTCTCCATCTTTAGCTGGCCAATCTTCAGGGAGTAGTCTTGGCCAGAGTTCTTGTCAGGAATCTTGGGCTTCACTTCCTGCTTTTTGGTGATAATAGATGTGTTAAACATCCAGACAATGTTGTTCACGTAGTGACTGGCCGAGAGTGTTAGGGGGAGGGTGACTGACTCCCCGAGGATCCCCACCACTGTCTCCCCCGCTGATCCTCCTCTGGAGGCTCCCGGAGCTGCAATCAGAGATGAGACATTGTGACTTTAGTTACTGGCCCTATTAACCCTCAGCCTGCCTGAAGGAGACTGAAGTCCCACATGCTCTCCTGCCCACACCCCCTTTCCCTTCCTATCACGAGGCATCCCCGCGGAACACTTGTCACAGACAGATATGCACCTGGCTCTGCCTTTCACATACCCAGTCCTCTCCTGCCCTTCCTGACCTTCTGAGGAGACCCCAGGGGATACCCCCACCCAAGCAAAGAACAAACTGGATCTCTTCATCCAAACTCTCTTCCCTTCCCTTGTTCTACCCTTAGAGTTTCAGTTCCCTGGTAGTTCCTAGATGCCCCATCAGTCTCTCTCAGGCCTCAGATGGTAGAGTACGAGGGGTCTTCAAGCCTATCTTCTTGCTTCCCTATTCCACCTGTGTCCTGCCAGAACCCTGGCAGGGTTCCATAGCTACTCAGACTTTCTGGAATCGCCAGGAGGGCCTAAGTGGAACCTGTACCTGTACAGAACTGCCGGACATGGATGGGGCCGGAGGTGCTCTGGCTGACTGGGTTCCTGGCTGTGCAGGTGTATGGAAGGTCTGGGTCACATGGCATCCAGTAGATGGTGATGGTGGAGGCCCCATGGGATTCAGAAGCATGGGTGTTCTTCGGGGTCCAGCTGTACAGAACACTTGTCCCTGCCCTCTCCACAGAGCAAATCAAGGTAATGTTGCAGGAGGCACTATCAGACATGTTCACGGACTTCACGACAGCTCGAGGCACCTGCACCTGCTCTGTATGGACAACAGCAATGAGACTACTCACACTCCTTCTGCAGCAGGACAAGGCTGAGAGAAGAAGGTGATGATGACAGAGGAGCTAGGCAGAGAAGGAAGAAGTCAGCATCCTTCAAGGGGAAGTTTTCAGGCTAGACTGCCTCTTTTGTACATTTCCGTAGATCCTCGACAGGTGTTATTTCCATGACTCAACATGACTGATTACTCCTCTCCCCATCAGTATCTGAACTACTTGAGGACAGGGCCAATGCCTGTGCCTGGACGTCTAACACAGGCTCGGCCCATGAAAGTCACTCTTGAATGTTTGGTGAATAAATGGATAAATGAGTCAGCCCCAAACACTGTGGAGTAGGGAGCTCTGCCTCTAGACTTTTGAGTTCCTTTTGTCTTTTGATCTGAATTTATGACCCATTGTGCTTCCAGAACTCCTTCCTAGTCCTTTCCTTCCCTTTTGTTCCATTTCCCCTATCCACTGTGTGTGTGTGTGTGTGTGTGTGTGTGTGTGTACAGGTGTGTGTTTAAGTTTGCTTTTTTGGGGAATTAGTAATACATAAAATTGAAAAGATACACGAAAGAGTATATAATTTAAAAAGCAAGCTATCTTGTCCCAGACACCTATTTCCTCTCCCCAGGAATTATTCCGAGGCATTTCTTGTTGATCTTTCTAGAAATATCCTAGGTATAGATGCATACATGATAGCGTACTATATATACTGTTCTGAACCCTTTAAAAATCTAACAACATATTGGATTTCTGGGGAAGATGGACCCCAAGTAAGAGGACCCCAAGCTCACTTTGTCCCATGGATACAACCAGGTAGCACCCACATCAACGTAAATAACCCAGGAAACGACCTGAAGACTAGTAGAACAAACTCTCCACAGCTAAATGTATAGAAGAGGTCACATCAAAGAGGGTGGGGAGGGCAGAGATGCAGTTGGGAGCTAAATGGACACACAGGACTGTCCAAGGGAGGGAAGGTGCAAGAGGGGACAGAAACAGACTCTCATACAGGGAAGATGAGTCCTCATAACATTTAGTTTTGAAAAACAGTGGGGCCTAATTTCATGAGTTCTTACAATCAGTGGGGCTTAACACCTGGAACTTAAACATTATTTTTTAATGTCTAATTTTGAGAAAGAGAGAGACAGAGCACGAGTGGGGGAGGGGCAGAGAGAGAGGAAGACATAGAATCTGAAGCAGGCTCCAGGCTCCGAGCTGTCAGCACAGAGCCTGACTTGGGGCTCAAACCCACGAACTGTGAGATCATGACCTGAGCTGAAGTCAGATGCTCAACCGACTGAGCCACCCAGGTGCCCTAACACCTGAAACTTTAAAAGTCAGTGGGCTCAGCTCTGGGAGGGGGAGAGGAAACTGAGTACCTGCCCTTAAAAAGGCAGCACCACAAACGGCTCTGGAGATACAACATAGAAGCAGCAGTTTGAAACCCCTGTAATATATGGGAAAGACATTTGTTTACTAATCTCAGAGTGTGTGCTGTAGGGGCAGAGATTGTTGAGAGCTTCTCCAGGAACAAGGGAGCTGGTGGAAATCACATCCCTCCCTGGCCCGCCAGCCCAGACACATGGACACCTGTGGGAACCAGTGTAGGGCCAACACTTAATACCTAATTTGCTAGCCGCACACTCCATCCCTGCATTCTCCCATAGATATGCCCTCTCCAGTTATGCCTCTGTTCTAGGTCCCCTCCCACGGCAGACCTGAACAAACCTTGCTAACACCAGACACCCTGTCCTCCACACTAATCCCTCCTCCTCCGGCCCCACCGCTTTTGCAGATCTGTCCCCTCCAACCCAGCCTGCCTGGCTCCCATTGGCTACAGGTCCCCTTCTGCAACCAACCAGCGCAAACCTTGATAATGCTGCCAAGCCTGCCCCTGCTTTCTCTTGTGGCCTTGCCCCCTCCAGTGCACTCTTGGGTGGAGCCCATCCAAAGTGAGGCCACAAGCCTGGCAGTGTGCAAGCAGTGCCAGCAGGGGCCAGCAATGGGCCGGGGACAGACATCTGGTCTGACTACAGGCCTTGCCCACCAATGAAAGCTTTTCTGGAAACAAAACAAGGAAAGCACCCTGCAGTTCAGTGCTACTGCATCTCTGGCAAATGCTTGGTCTGAATTGACTCAAGGCCAGGGCCCCAGATTGGCCCACTAACAATACAAGGACCAAACCCTGCCCACAACAGGAAAGGACAGCCATTGCAGATGACTGGACTGAAGGCAAAAGTGGCCCAGCCACAACAGCAGGGCATACACAACACACGTAGGAGACACCCCTGAAGCTCCAAGTTCTGGTGAACAAGGGACACTGCACTGCAGGGCACTCTAGGTCCTCTTCTTCATAAAGCCACTACTTTTTCCAAATGTTTATTTATATTTTATGTACAGAGAGACAGAGCACAAGCAGGGGAGGGGCAGGGAGAGAGGGAGACAGAATCTGAAGCAGTCTCCAGGCTCTGAGCTGTCAGCACAGAGCCTGACATGGGGCTTGAACTCATGAGCTGTGAGATCATGACCTGAGCTGAAGCTGGATGCTTAACTGACTGAGCCACCCAGGCACCCCAAGCCACTACTTTGAAGAGCAGGAGATGAAACTGACTTTCCTACCACATATAAACAGATACAGAGAGTTAGATAAAATGAGGAAACAGAAGACTATGTCCCAAATGAGAGAACAAGACAAAATCATGGCAACAGAAATAAAAGAAATGGAGATAAGTAGTATGTCTGATAAAGAATTTAGAGTAATGGTCATAAAGATACTTACTGGACTTGAGAAGAGTGGAGGACCTCAGTGGAGTGGAAGACCTCTCTTTAAAAAAAGAGATAGAAAACATAAAAAGAACCACACAGAGAAGAACCCAACAACTGAAATTAAAAATACACAGATGGAATAAAAAGACCAGAGAAAGCAGAACAGATCAGTGACATGGAAGATAAAGTAATGGAAAACAATCAAGCTGAACAGAGGAAAAAAATAATTAAAAAAAAAAAAGAAAGAAAATAGACCGGGAGCTCAGCAACACCATCAAGTGTAATAATAGCATTATAAGGATCCCAGAAGGAGAAGAGAATTTGAAGAAATAATAGTAAAAACTTGCTGAATCTGATTTCTGAAACAGAAATCCAGATCCAGGAGACACAGAGAGCCCCCCAAAATCTCCCAAGGACGTCCACACCAAAGCACATAGGAATTAAAATGGCAAAAAGTAGTGATAAAGAGAATAATTTAAGAACACCGAGAGAAAAGAAAACAGTTACATGCAAGGGAGAATCCCATAAGGCTATGAGCTAATTTTTCAGTAGAAACTTTGCAGGACAAAAGGGAGTGGCATGATATATTCAAAGTGTTGAAAGGAAAAAACCTGCAACCAAGAATACTCTATCAGGCAAAGCTATTATTCAGAATAGAAGGAGACACAAATGTTAAGGGAATCCATGTCTACTAAACCAGCCCCACAAGAAATGTTAAAGGGGACTCTTTGAATGGAAAGGAAAGATCATAAGTAGGAGTGAGAGAAGTAGGAAGCACAAAAGCAATAAAAATAAATTTATCTGTAGAAATCAGTCAAAGGATTCACAAAATAAAAAGATGTAAAGTATGGCACCATATACCTAACATGTGGGAGGGAGATGAGTAAAGAATAGGTTCAAATTCAAATGACCATTAAATTAATACAGGCTGCTATATGAAACAGATGTTATATATAGACCTAATGGTAACCACAAATCAAAAATCATATCTGTCTTTGATAGATATGCAAAGAAATAAACAGAAAAGAATCCAAGTATATCACTAAGAAAGCCAACAAATGGTGAGAGAAGAGAGCCAGAGAAGAAAGAGAACTACAAAAACAACCACAAAACAAACAACAAAATGGCAGTAAGTACATACCTGTCAATAATTATTTTGAATGTAAGTGGACTGAAAGCTCCAGTCAAAAGACATAGCATGGCAGAATGGATAAAAAAAAGCAAGATCTGGGGCGCCTGGGTGGCATAGTCGGTTGGGCGTCCGACTTCAGCCAGGTCACGATCTCGCGGTCCGTGAGTTC